GAACCAGGCTCAGGGAGGGGCGGAGCCATCTGCTGCGACCGGTTGGGGTGAGAGAAGGAAGACAGGATAAACACATGCTGTGGAAGAGGGACAGATATTAATAACAGGCATGATTCAATGCATCCATCCATTCGCTTATCCTTTTCCCGGTCACGGGGGGCACTGGAGCCTATACCAGCTGTCATAGGGCAAGAGTGTTACACACTTGGATTAAAATGAATTGAAACCAGTGTGGCTTTGTGAGTTCGCCTTTACTGTATCTGCAAATATATATGTAGACATAGCACAACGTTACACACTTTTGCAGTCTCACGCAACTCTTATAGGCGCACTGCCTATGGTTAGTGGCTGGGCTTATTTACTGCCGCTAGAGCTGCTCATTTTAGGGGATACTCCCTCTTGTGGTGTAACGGAGGAATAACTACCCTTCCTGCACTATGTCATTTATGGAGACTGGGGCACATATTATTTTACAACTATCAAAGAAAATACATATTTGAACAATCAGACCATTTAACTAACTATAATATTGTAACTAAAGATTATGGGGGGGTGTCCTGTTTTGTCCACAATGAATTTCTTGTCCTTACAAGAGGCAGGGTACACCTTGGACAGGTCGCCAGTCTAACACACAGAAAGAAACAACCATTCACACTCACATTCACACCTATGGGCAATTTAGACTGATCAAGTAACTTATCCCCACTCACTGCATTTCTTTGGACTGTGGGAGGAAGCCAGAGTACCCGGGGCGAACATGCAAACTCCACAAAGAAAGACCCCAGCCTGATGGTGGAGTTGAACGCAGGACCTTCTTGCTGTGCAGCAACATTGCTAACCACCGTGCCACCGTGCTGCTGATTCAATGCAGATAGGTCTATTAACACATAGTGAGCGAGAAAGGTGATGGAAGAAGAAATAGTGCATCATAGGAATAACCTACGCCTATTGCAGCATAACTAAGGGAAGATTCAGGGTCACCTGATCCAGTCCTAAAGTAGAGATAGTGTCTGTCTCCTGAATCCAAACTGGAAGTTGGTTCCATAGAAGAGGGGCCACCAAATCCATACACATCATTCAGATTACCAGACTGGGAAGTGTGATCTGCCACTGCAGAGAACACATCTTCACTGTTCTAGAGTCCATTTATGGCGTGATTTACACCACTGCATCTGACACTTTGCATTGCGCTTGGTGATGTAAGGCTCGGATGCAGCTTCACAGCCATGAAAACCATGAAGCTCTGTACGCACTGTCCTTGAGCTAATCTGAAGCCAAATGAAGTCAGGAGGCCTGCAGCTATTGAGTCTGCAGAAAATTGTGAGGTCAGAGTAGGGACCACGTAAAACCACAGAGTGATTGCTCTGTGATTTTGCGACACCTACCACTTTGTGGCTTAGTTGCTGTCATTATTAATCGCTTCCACTTC